CTAGAGCCCCCTGAAGCAAAAAAAATTTTTTTTTAATGGAATCTTAACCCCTTGAACTAAAATAAATTATTTTGATTGCCCCCTGAAAGATTTCTTTTATAATTCTAAAGAAAATAGATTTAATTTTATTATTTACAAATTAATAAGATTATCTAAATATTTATTAAATGAATACTATTTTAAATATTAGATTAAATTAATACATATAAATTATAGCTAGCAATCAAATTTTGTGTTAAAAATAGAATATCAATATCACTCACTTAATATTAATTTATCATTAACAGTTGAAGCTTAATTGGCTATTATTATTTAAATTATTTTATAACCTTAATTAAATAAATATAATCATTTATTAATTGAAAACTAAAAATTTAATATTGTAATTAGCAGAGTTCAAAATAACTAATCAACTATATTTATTTTTAAAATTTATTATCATACCTATTCCTAAGAATATTTTCAAGGTCCAAATAAGTATATTAAAAAGTAAGAAAGTAGACATATAGTTAAGATCCTCTATTATATACAGTTGTTTATAAAATATTAGATAAAATGCCACTTTTATCGACGTATTTGACAGTTATAATATACTACAGCTAATATTATAATGAATTTTACTAATAAATGCTTTTGATAATAAATATAGTAAAAATTGCCTTCAAGTTTTTAACGCCATCTATTTAGTTATAAATATTTTAAAAATTAAACGTTTTATTATTCATCTTAAAATGGATGTAATAAATTTGATATCTTTTCTTTTCATTTTTACGTTATGAAATCTATTTTTTTCTTTATCAAAAAACAGTTTATAGTTAAATATTTAATAGAAGTTTTTGATATTTTTACAAATTACTATTATTTTAAGATATAATATACCAACTAGAGGTGGTGCGACAAAATCTTAATTGTTTTATCATATCATTCTGGTCCTTATTTTATAGTGTCAAAATGTTTCATTTCTAATATGGCATCCTTGCCGTGTTTAAATAACTCAAGGCCTCAATATATTTGCACAATTATTTCTTCAAAAGAATTTAGTGTTTTTATTTTATCAATTTATCCAACATAATAAATTCTGATACTAGCTTACATCGTGAGTGTCATGGCCATTACTGCAAATTAACCAGCATCTATTATTTGTGTGGGTATGTAATTTAATATTATTACTACAGCTGCTGAGAACATATGATTGCATATTTTAGATATGCAGTAATGGTCAACTGTGCAGTCGTTTATATATCATTAAAAATGGAAGATAATCTTTTAGAAATTTATAATCTCACAATAATTTTCTTGATTACTTATCTAGCTGCCATCATACGCTCTAACCACTATATAGTTTTATGATTTGGATTGGTCGTTTATATTCTCTTCTTCAAGAATTGTTAATTTAGTAAGGCCTATAAATTTTTTCTTATTAGTCCATTCTATAAAACATTGATGGTAACAGAAAGTTATATTAGTTTCATGACCTTTTGTCAATGTAAGTTGCTAAGAATTATATCTTATGTGGTTTTTAAAAACCATTATCAATTGAGGCATATGTATGAATTAATTAACCTTTTTTATCACTTGTAATTCTTTAGACGCATATATCAGCAATCGAAAATATTGTATACTATAATAAATAGATTTTGTATTAAAAAATATTATCTTTATAAATGTCTTGTATTGTTTTAATTGTTTATATGCCAATTTATTTTGTATGCATAATATAATAAATGACAAAATATGAAATTCATAATAATTGTTCAGATTTAACAAATTTTAAAAAGAATAATATATAAATATAAAACCGGCCCGAAATTGGGGGGTATGGAGGGAGGGGCGATGCTCCCCATAAAAATTTTTTTTAGAAGAGCCCCATGAGATTGTAAAGGCTAGCGACGCCCCTGAATTACTTCTCTGTTTAATCGTATGTAATAAAAAATTAAATATTTATATCTATATCATATAATTCAAACAAATAACAAAAATCGGCATTAAAGTTCAAGCAGATCTTTTAAGGATTTTCAGCCTGGTCAGGAATATATTTTACTATGAACTAATTTTGGCTCAAATTTTTATTTAGCCAAACCCAGTCACTATCTATTGTCCACCGGGAAAAATAGTTAGCATTTTGACATTTTTTTAAACCAGTTCAGGCCTATTTAGGCCGTGCCCATCTTTAAATTTATATTCGTAATTAAAGCGATTAATTTTCATTTACCACATTCTGTTAGATTTAGACTCTGTAAACTTAATCACGTCTTTTCCTTTTATTTAAAGGTAATTTTCCAATTCAACTAGCTTCCTATCCTCCTTTATTTCAATATGGGAAATCCCTAATTTATATTTATGTTAGAATAATTTTATTTTTCATTTTATTCTAGTGATTTAAGAATTTTTTTTAATGTGCATTGCTATAAGGAATTATAAACCATTCCAAAAAATAATTATTATAAATGTCAGCCAAAGATCTTTTCGCATTTAGGAAAATTCTCTCTTCTCATTCCAAGCTGACGATATGGTCATTAAAATATCATGAAGAGTCTTCCATTACAAAGCTTTTAACACACTATTATGGCTTTCCCATATTGAAAATTTATATAAACAAATGAAACTTGAAAAACTAATTATTTAATTTATAAGAATGAAACTGAAAAGATTTTATTAATATTTTTACCCTTTATTTTTAGATAATGTATTAAACAGTGGTTCGGACATAAAAATATACAATTCAATTATGAATATAACTTTATATCCAAGATTAATCAGATTAATACATTGAATATTTTTCTCAGTATAAAACAATATTCTTATTATATAAAATTTGATCCAGTTGATAAGCAGGTGGGAGGGGAAATTAGTTGTAAGATCCAGAAGAATGCAAGCATGTTCTGGACGATCGCGATGAGTATACTCGATGTTGAGTGAAAATAACTTGGGAGAAAGATGTTGCACACTAGTTTATAAATTTATTTTAGATTGATTAAAATTATATATATATAGGAAAATTATGTTATTTTTATTTATTAATGTATACGAAATAAAAATATAAATTTTGAAATTAGATTAATGTAGTGATTTTACAATTGAAATTTGTGACCGACTTTCAAAATATTGTTCAACAAAGAAAATTTGAGAATAATAAGGATTGGTTATAGTTTTAAAATTTATAACTTTTTAGCACCCTGAATTCAAATACCAGATTCTGATATGTGATAAAAAGATGCTCCTGATAAATTCAAAAGGGTTAGTCATACAGCCAAGGCTATATGTTTGGCGGGTGAATTTAGTGATCAGATTAGTGGATGGTCTAGTGCTTGGAATTCATATCCAAAAAAATAGAATTTATCTTAAGATAAATATTTTATTTAAGACCGACTCAGAATTAGGCATTGTCTAGCCAATTTATTATTCGGTTCGGATCGTATTTAATTTATCAAAATTAATTTTTATTAATAAAATAAACTTTAGGTATAGGTTATATAGTTATTTATTTTAATTCATTTAGCTTTTACGAAAATAGAAAGAAGAAAAAAAATGTAATAACTTTAATGATACGAAAATTATAAATATAAGATAACGGAGATTATAGAGATGTAATTCATCATTTACAATTGTGGGTACGATTGTTTAATTTGTCCTTTGGTATCGATATCCGTCAGCGGGTTTGAAATTAACTTGGGAACATGCTGTCATCTTCTATTCACTAATATACTAGCTCAAGCCAACATTAGACCTATCTAGCCTATAGTTTCTATGGTCAAATATTTAAATATTTTTAAAGAATATGAATCTAACCATAGTCGAATCATGTAGCAAGATGAATACTAAAAATCTGACATCTTGAATCAATTTTACCAATAACAAAGTAACTAATTAGAAGCCAGAAAAAAAAACTATCATATCCAGCCACGTAAATACAGACATGTTTCTTTGAAACATCAACTCTGAAAAACTCACATTAATGATTAGTAAGTATGGCATTTTAGTGCTTTAGCCTGTCGGTATATAATTTATAGAAAAAACAATTATTGCTAAGAATAAAAATAACCCCTAAAAAATCAGAAACACATAAATCCAATGAGGTGAGTGGTTTATTGTTGGCACCTTGAATAAATTCTGGATACGTTGCCAGTATTTCTTATAAAAATAAGATCATCAATAAACAGCGGTGTCACATATGCAGCGTTCTAAAACGTGACTTTTATTGGGAATGGGTAGGGAAGGAAGGGGGTGAAGGAGACATTAAGCTATTTTTAGAAAAGTTTCAAATATATAAAGGGATTATACGTTTTATTTGAATACAAGTATATTTAAAGTTTAAATAATAAGCATTTTTTTCGAATAAAACGATTTCGATATAAAGGCTTGTAATATTCATATTTACATCTCGGATTGACAGAATCAGAAATATTATATACAACAAAAATATATGTTGTATAAAATACAATTATTTCTAAAATAGAATGACTAAAATTAAAGCTCTAAAAAAATAAAATTGTGGAATGCCTCTTATAAATTTTATAAATCTGAAGGAATATTTTGCAACACTAAAATTAATTGTAGGTATGAATCTGATATAAAAAATTGTGTTTTAGAATACAAGCTCCTACAACTAAATGAAAATATTGTAGATAATATGTATAGAAAAATAAATATATCTTTCGACTATGTTAGAAACAATTAACTCTAAAAACGAAAACGTATAAGTTCAACATTTTATCCGCTGGTAGCTGCTTAATACATCATGTTTAATAATTGATTATAAATTATGACGCATGTGTAATTTAAGCGTTATCACGGAAAATATAATTAAAAGATTTGATATATTATCGTAAACAATAATGATTCATTAAAATACGTCAATTTTAAAAATTTCAATCTTTAATACGTATTATTATATCAAGGAATCTTAACTCTAAATTTGATCATTATAAACTATTTTTAAATTTGTTTCAAAAAAAAATTATATGATGAAGAATATTTTAGTTGACTTATGTTTAGGTAAAATGAAGGTTGATACTGCACCAAAGAAAGGTACAATTTAATCGTATTCCTTAGTTAAATTCCATTTTTTTTATTGCACATTTTTTAGATAATAAAAAGGTTAATGTGTGGTCTCGTGTTAGAAAATGTTTTGGTTGCAGAAGAAAAGAAGGTATCAGGCCTGATGGCCTAGTCATTAATGCTTTAATGAACGACGTGAGGGAATACCCTATTTTCAAAAAGTGTTTTGAAAATAGGGGTATCGGCAAGATGAATGTTTGTGAAGATGGGGTAGAGGGGGTTGTCAGAGGTATGTCAGTTAATCCCTGTAAGGACAACCTTTCTTACCCCATCTTCAAAATGTGTCCTCAAAAATTGAAGGTGGAGGATAATATTATTGATCCTGTTGAGGATGTTAAATATTCTTCCAAGGATGATACAAAAATAAAACCCATTTGCACAGATTACGATTTTGTAAAGCTAATAGGCCAGGGTGGAGCTGCTAAGGTTTTCCTTGCCCGTTCCAAAACAAATGGGAAGGAATACGCCGCAAAGGTGATTCGGAAGCAATTCCGTGACGATATAGAGGTTTGCATTAAATCATTTAATATTTATATGCTGTTTAATAATATTTCTAAATTGTGCTTATCAAGTTCTTCTTCAAAATTTTATTAATGTCTAATAACCATATAATATTTAAGCTTTATAGTTACTAACCTCCATTCTACATTTGATTCGTGATATTAAATATTGACTATTTTTTATAAATAGGATGCCTACAGCAAAAGGCTAATTCATAGAGAAAAGTTAGTTTTCGATAAAACTAAAAAACTCCCATTTATGGTTGAGTTATTCGCCTACTACCACACCCCTATGAAGTATGTATTTTATACTTTAATATAAGTTTATATATTTATAAAAATATTTATTAAATTGAGAATATAAAAATATTTTAATAATTAAAGATAATTATTTATCTATTAATTTACAGTTACGCCTTCATCATGGAGTACGTTGACGGTGGAGACCTCCATCGTCACCTCCGACATCAACCTAACTCTACACTACCCGAGCACCATGCTCGTTTCTATGCGGCGGAGATAACCTTAGCACTCCACCACCTACACAGTAGAGGTAACATTTTTATAGTAAAATTATTTACCAATTTTGGAATTAAAAATAATATTTTTTTTGTTAATTTTATTAAAATTTAATATTTTTCTACCCAGGAATCATCCATAGAGACGTTAAACCGGAAAATATTCTATTGTGCTCCGATGGCCATATCAAACTATCTGATTATGGCCTATGCACGGTAATAAATTTTTTATCTCAATAAAATTAATAGCACAGAAACGTTAGGAATAAAATTTTAGAACATAAAATAGATAAACTGAGCGCTCATATGTGTCTAAATAGATATATAAATATAACATTAAAGAAGATTGTATAATTCAGTATCTTTTAACACTGGGCTTATGATGCATTTTCTTTGAAATTTTGAGGGAGTTACTAATAGGGATACTATCTTTTACAACATACATCCTTATGATTGAATCCTTTATTTCAGTCATCGAATCATGAAGTTAGGTATAACGAGATTGCTCTAGATGAAGGGTCTAACAGACAATCAAAATCATAATTTCTGGCAATATTTTTAAATAACAGGTTCTGTTCTGCCCGTTTCTCAAAATCTTTAAAATGTTTATAAGAAATAAGTCCATAGGCTTTGAATATAATATTCAGCAATAACTTACAGTTTAATAATTTGTATTTTATTATATTTAAAAAAATATTTAAAAATATTAATACTAATATTTTCCCATATCCTTATTTTTTAAAAACCTTTTATTTTTTAAAATTAATTTCATATCAATTGCCAAATTAAATCTTCAAAAAAAAGTAGATAGTAACGAAAATATTATTCGAGCTAAGGTATGTGCCAGCTCGTATTAAAATTTAATTTATTTTTTAAGTTTCCACTGGCTGTGCTCACGGCTCAGCCTTACACGGCTCAACCATGTCTTAAATTCGATTATCAGAAATGCACAAAATATATATAGAAATAATTAAATAATATTAGTAAACTTTAGAAAAATAAACTCCATCCATTTAATTTTTAACATATTTTTATTTGGGGGTTTATAGTTTAAATTATCTTAATAGGTTTTAGATTTTTAAAATAAAGATAAGAATATATGTTTGTAAATTGATTCCTCTTTGAAATATATTTATTTTATTTTAAAAAAATATAATGTGATATAGCCATATTTATAATTTTTATAAGCGTTTGAACTTGTTTAAAACGATATGAAAGTATTTACAGCCTTATTTTATTAAATTGCAATAACACCCACGTATTTTTGTTTAATCACGCCAACCTCCGAAATTCTATGCCACCCTTGTAGCATGAAACCACTAGTTGGTACCACAAAAATAACATGTTCCAGCTTAATTTTGACCTAGAACTAGCGGGTTGAAATGCACGCACTGATTCTACTAGGCCATAGAGGCTAGAAAGCACAATCATTTTGTTATTGTAAAATTAGGACTCTTTGAATATTTTAATTAACACATTCGAAATCGGTTGAAAACTATACATCATTGCCAGTTTTAATTTTATCTATTAAAATGTTTCATGTACACCTTCTTTATGGAAACGGTTAATAAAATTTAAATTTTGTATTTAGCTTTCTCGGTTTCCAATAATTAAACATTCCAATTTTAACTTGGCAAAAATTTCCCACTAAGATTTTCCAAAATATAAACATTTTCTTAGATAATCAGTAATTTTTTAATATTAAGAATAAATTTTCTGATATATTTTTCAACTTCTCTTATTTACTTTAATACATATACGGTTATATAAAAAATAATCTAGGATATTCTACCAAGTTTCATCGAAAGACGAAAATCTCTGCGAGTCGGGACTGTCTACTACAAGGCACCCGAAGTTTCATTCGATCCATATTATAGTAAACATTGCATTTTATCCTTTTATTTAACAAAAAAAATTTCTATTTCTAATAATAAAATATATCGTAGAGCTAGTATAACTTCTGGATTTAGTAAGAAAAAAATCATAATATTTACATAATTAAAATATATTTTAAAAATGTCGTTATCTAAAATTTTAAAACTATTTATTTACTTAAAATTGAAAGGCTATAGCATAGATTGGTGGGCCTTAGGGGTAGTTTTGTACGAAATGTTGGTTGGCAAACTCCCCTTTGGCCTAGAAGCCAAGCCCTCTCACAACGATGACCACTATCGTTTACAAGGTTCAATAATTACTTATACTTTAATGAAATTTGATAAAAAATATTTAAACTCAATAAATTATCATTGAATATCAAAATTTAATTTCCAATTATAAAGAAAATAAATAAATTTAATATATATTTTATTTTATTTAGCTAAATATGGAAGGGTGAAAATCCCTATATCCATTTCCTTCAAAGCCTCCTCCATCATCAGAGGATT